TATTAGAGGTCGTGCAGAAAATATGATATTTTTTAACTAAAAAAATTGAGATAAATTGTGTATTATTGAATCACTGTAGATAAAAAATTATATCAATTTTGACTGTTATTATATTTTTATAATTATAATATTAAATAAATTTTTTCTTATTATATTTTAATAATTACTAAATTTAAGTAGTCCTTGTTATATAAATTAAGTCATCGCACAAAATGCAATGGGATACTTACGGAGAAAAAAATGCGATTTTTGACGCGTATATAACGAGGCTCGGAAGATCTACAGGTGAGGCACCGAGCCTATCCAGATTCCCAAAGCCACTGATTCGCTGCACACTGGGGCCCACATGACCGCTACTGGACACGCTATTCGACGCTTACTGTTGAGAGAGCCTATGACGTGGCGTACTATTTATTAACTTGGACAAAATTAGCAATGGCCCCACAATTTTGATATTTTTCAGGTTTAATCCTAATAGTCTGTCGTGTCTTCTTATAAGGCATTGATTGATAATCCACTTCTTTGTCCTCACCCTAACCCTGTTTAGTCCAACTTAATGATTTCATCACCCTTACAAATAAAAACAACAATCTTATATTAAAAGTAAAATCATGTAAGTATACAAGAAAACACATCTTATTTTTAGAGAAGCCTAAAATACCCAAAAATAATTTGAAATCGTAACTCTAATTTTTATGGGTATTTTTACAATTTTTCTATATATTTTTAATATTTGTGTGATAACTTACAACCCACCTTACCACAAAAGTCATAAAAACACACATAAAAATTATGATAAATTACATTGACATCTCTTTATATTTGATTTTATTACACGAACACTCCCTTACATTTTAAAAATAATATCGAACTCCTTTGACATTTAAAATTTGTAACAATCACACCCCCTCCAAAAACAGACGTTAAACTTGTTAATAGTCGAAATTGAGGCCATCAATCATAATTCTCAAAATACAAAAAATACCCTCCAAATTTATCCAACATCTCATTTATTTTTTTAATCTATATATGAAATATACATATTAAAATTTAACACTTATATGTTTAATTTCTAAATACATTACATTAATAAATAAATTTTTAATAATTTTTTTATTAAATAATATTTGGTACCATTAGTACAATTTTAAAAGTAATCATATATTTAAAATCTTAATAATTACGTAATCCAATTATCCCATATTAAATTTATTTTTGCATATTATTGATCTAATTACATAAATTTTTACTCTTTTATTATTTATCTAATTATATAAATTTTTACTCTCGTCACCGTCACCACTGTCTAAAACTAACCACCGCAATAGTGTATCTGCCATCCAACACACCACCAGTACACACACACACACACAGAACACAGACAGAGATAAACCACAACCCCATTGAAAACCACCTCCGCCTCCACCATTGAAACCACCTCCGTCTCAAATCTGAGAGACGAAATATGAATGAATTTTCCATTTATCAATCCAGATTTGTCCCAAATTCATCATTAACACCATCATAGTTAACCACCATCCACCGCCACCTATACACCACAGAAACCACCATCACCACCACCTTCCCCTCCTCCTCCTCCTCCTCCCTCTCTCTTTCTCTCTTCACACGCATACATAGAGCACTGCCCCTGTCACCACTTTAGTAGGTTTCAAAAATTACACAGAACTTCTGATAAAGAATTAGATCCATAAATCCAACACCACTGCCACCATTGCGATAGGTTTCAAAAACCACCCAGACACCATCGCAACCCAATACCCAACCACCAAACTACGTCTATCCTTCAATGCCATCGCAACCTAATACCTAGACACCAACCACCACCAAACCAGCTCTTTCTTTCTCTCTCTCACTCATTCAGACTACGTCTATCCTTCAACGCCATCGCAACCCAATACCCAGACCCTTAGCCAAACCTGCAACCACCCCTCCTAAAGATCAGAATCCACTGCTCACCACCAACCCTAGATTTGAAAACTCCAAGTCTTCGATCATTACTCAAGCAAGGAATCCCACATCTGTTGTGTTTAGGTGGTGATTCAATTTCACATCTACAATAAAATCTAGTGTGTGTAGAATTTGATCCATGATGGGATTCGAATTGGGAGAGGCAATGGTATCGATTATGGGTGGTTCTCTTTGGCGTTGGTGTTGTTTGTTGGATTTGCTAGAGAGAGAGAGAGACTTGGGTAATCGGTTTATTTTTTTAATTTTTAATTAATTAAATATAGGATAAGATAATCTTTTTGTTTATACCGTTAATGATGTTGGGTCTCAATATAGTTTTTGAAATGTGAGAGAGTGTTCGTATAATAAAATCAAATGTTTGGAGGTGAGTATAATTTTTCCTAAAAGTTATAAAAATATCAACAAAAAAAGTTGTAATGGATGTCCCGCACTGAATTTTTTTTTAGATACCGTAGATTTCTCTCGTATTTTTTATACATTAGAAGATTACACCATGCATGATTGATCCTAAAAAAACCGTGATTTATCACGAAAATTATCACTTATAAAAATAAAGTTATTAACTTCTAAAAATCAAGTTAATTAAGGGTATTCATAATTGATTATATGATTGAACGAATCGTGGGAAAAATCGTGAATGCTTTTCATTACATACTTAGAATTCCTCTAACAATACTGCGATTAGTATTTTATCATTTCCAACAACAGATTTTATTCTAGAGATTATTAGATACCATAGCATTCTTCGATAAATATTAGTGGTCAAATATCACTGCGGGGAAGGACTAAATTTCATGTTAATTCTATTCTGGCCACTGAAATTATTGTGGAACAATAATGTCAAAACTAAGTATGATTGCCTATTTGCCTTTGCCCTTTTTTACCATCACCAAGTCAACAATGAGTGCTTTCATGTGTGGCGAGTTGGCGTGAAAACAAAAAAACTTTTGAATATCATGAGAGAAAAAGTAAGGCTTTCGCACTTTGTACCTCAGAAGGTTTTAAGATTTTTATTTTTTATCCTCAAATATTAAATTTTTTATATTGTACTTTTAATATATTAAAAATATTATAATATGGCCCTTTAATATATTAGTTTTCAATATTTTTTTTGTCAAAAATTAATCCATTAACACTGACAAAAAAATAACATAAAGATTACATAACAACACTTTTAATAAACTAAGAGTGTAATATAAAAAATTTAATCTTTGAATATATAAAGTGAAAATTTTACAATCTTTCAAGGTATAAAGTGTAATTCACCCAAAAAAGTAAAAAAAAAAAAAAAAATCCTCAATAAGATTTTAATAGCGTGAAAACAATAAAATGTCAAATTTGTGCAAGCTCTTCATTCCATTATAAAGTTCACATTAATTTTTATTGGTGTTTTATCATATTTGTGATAATTATTTTTACCATTATTCTTCCATACAAAAAAAAAATTATTACTTTTGTAAGTATTTTACCATATTTATGAATGTTTTTATCAATGTTGTAGTTCTTATTTTTATCATTTTTTTGGATATCAAAACAATAATAAAAATATCTACAAAGGTCCCCCAAAAAAAAAAAAAAAAAAAATTTGATACCGTAGTGTTCTTATTGGCGAATCCTTCCATCAACCCATGTCCTATCATAACAAAAAAAAACCACCACAGTCACATTCCATGTGAACACTGAAAGTTCACCATAGCAAAATAGGGAGAGTCTGTGGTAACCAATAGTGGTTTTTCGGTAGCAAAAGAGAGAAATATTAGGAATATTAGGAGTTAATGTTTTTGTGTTGGCGTCAGATCACTCCGGAAGAATATAGATAAGGCTATACGAATTACAATGTCGAAAAAGGAAACTTTGATACCATAACCTGCCTCCAACACTAGGCAAAACAGGGTAAGTACTACAATCTTGGCCTCTTGTTTTGGACAATTCTTACTTCTCAGAGATTAGATGAGCAAATAGCGTATAAAGAGATGAAAATGAGTACATTATCATCAAAGATTGTGCGTACTCTGAAATGCAAAATGAATGATTGATTTGATTGAATGTGCAATTTCTTTCATGTGGGGGTAAAGGCAGGGGAACGGTGTAAAGAAACACTGTAAAGAAAGGAATTTTTGACTTGCTAGAGAAATGAATACTCGCACAATAGTCATATTTGCCACGAGACTAAACGTGTTGTCATAGTCAATGTGTAGGGACGAGAGAATTGAATGTACCTAAGAAAATAAATCGGATATTCTAACATGTCCTAAAACCTCTTACATAGCTAAGTAAAACAAAGAATACAATATTAAGAGGGTGGGAGGAAGAAATACAATAACAGTAGATTTGCTGCACTGCTTCCCCTCCTTATCTTCTATTTTCTTTAAGCACTTATTACAACGTAAATGATCTCCAATATCAGTAGTTTTCTCAAGAGAGACATTTTACTCATATTAGGACACTTGACGATGTGCGACGAAAATGAAGATGTCAATGACAAAACTTGATGCTTCAAAATTTGAATCCAGCGAAAGCTGGCACATTGTAAACAAATTGAATGGAAAAATAGACTCCTAAAAATTTTGCGTAGATGACAAGTTTAATTCATCAAGCCATGAAATTTGAGAGGAAACTCAATAGGGTAGTCAAAATTGGAAAATTCCATGAATTAGTAATTGGAGATCTCAGGTTCGATTTTTTGTAAGAAAGTCATGTTTTACTCGATGCCTACAATATATGCTTGATTATGCAACTTTGGAATCAAGGTTGTAAAAAAAATGAAAACACTTTACAGAGAAAGAGAATAGCAGATTGACAAGGAGAATAAAGGAACAGAATTATTGGGAAGAGATCTACGATACTTGACTATACGTTCAACCCAATCTCAACCTATATATGACCAATCTGCATAAAACCCATATTCCAGCTGCTGGATCTATGCATTGATTATATACTAGAACATAACATTTTGTAGAATTTTTGAAATCCACAATTCAAACATTAGACACACTAGTATAGATTATAAACTCTTGTGATGTCAAATAAGTGAAGGAATTATATAGTGGTTAAGAAGTTACATCGGTAGAGAATTATCTATAGACTACACATAGTACTGCCCAGAAAAAATTCTTTGATTTATCTCGCAAAGTATTCCAAAAAATTATTTTGATCAATCTTCCTCACCATATGTTTCTGATTACTCAAGTTATAAAAACCACCACTTTAAAAAGATTAACTCCTCTCAGATTCCTTAATGTAAAACAATATTTTTCTTGCCAATAAGCAAAACTATCATAAATCATCAGGTATACTACCTAAAATAGAGTCCACGTCTGGAGTTATGATGGCTCGCTTGTTGAGTTCCCCCACAATGCAACAATGCTTTTCTTCTGTATTGATGGCAACAACATCCTGGGCAAATGCACAGTCCAAACCTGTAGAAACCTGCAAGCACATCAAAATATTAGTAGATAGCTCACAAGGAATGCACAACCCTACGAACCTTTCCTCCGAATTATCCCCATAAAAAAATTCTATGCAAAGTTAACGAGTTTGAGATAGGCAAGATTTAAAAGGCAACTCCATCACACATCTTGAACGTTTCTTATATATCCTTATATATACATATGTATATATAGAGAGAGAATAATTTTGACTTGAAACAATTACAGAAAAGCACACACATTTTCAATTACATGATCATAAAACTCACATCATAAAGGGTATCTCCAAGCTTCATCTTGATAGCACCACTCCTGTACACCAACATTTTACCCATGAAGCCTGATGGTAACTCATGTAGCTGACATGCCTTTTCTGAGGTGTCAACTCCCTTTGTTGGATTCAAACTACTGGCCATCTCTCGGACCCCTGTATTAGTTGATTGCTTAGTCATAGGCATAATAGCTGGTAACTGAAGGAAGAACATGCTTGCTTCGACATTTTCCTCCTGCCAACGATTCATCACAATTAGAGTAAAGTTTATGATTGCACATATATTCTTTCTTGATTTTTACCAATCAAAATACAACCATTAGACCAAGATCCGTAGCTGGATCTGTGGAATATTCATCATAAACGATGCTTTCTGAAGCCCCCCCAAACTCCTCTTCATCAAGATTTTCTATAAGGAACAGAAGAAAGTTAAATGTACTTACATTCAAGGGAAAAGAAGATAAGATCCATCACACCACTTAAGAAATAAATCCCCACCACCACTTAAGAGATGTGAGCAATTATCATTGATCCACCATGGCATGCAGCATTACCCTAATACTTTTCCTGCAAATAGTGATAAATTTTTGCGATGCGCCAAAGGAATACCTGGATTTCCTGAATACGGTCTCCTCAGAGGAAGTGTTGCAGGATAGTAAGTGTAGTAATCCTGCAAGAGCATAAAAAGAACCAAAGCAGTTCAATACTGGGAGAGAGGTCAGGAGGTAAATGTTTCTGATCTAGAGGTTAACATTTAATGCATGGAACTGTAGAACTGAGTTATGGTTTTACTTACCCATGGTTCCTTGTATTCTTTGTGTACTTTCTGACCCGAGGCATAGGCACCGCCACCTAAAAAAACACACATGCAAGTGTAATGCGCTGCTTACTATCTGTATAGCAGCTAAATGCACACGGCAACAAAAGTTATCAACTAACCATCAGAAGAGGAACCTTGGCATCTGCTACTACCAATGCCACCCTTATGCGCGCCATATGATTTTATGGAAGTCGATGTCCCTCCATAGCCAAATGCAACTCGAATAGGTGCTGCTGCAAATTGCAAAAGGCAAAACACTCAGTTTAGAAATGTCCAACATTTAAAAGCTGATCAGCAACATATTCGAAAAAGACCTGTACAAATGGAAAAAAAAACATATCAAGCATATCCAAAATAAATGATGATACCATATCATTTCCAAAATTCTCCTACTTGAAAATCTATTAAGAGATAGCCACCAAAGTGAAGGCTTTATAGGCTAAAAGACTGTAATTATCCAGCCAGTCTAGACTCCAACTAGAAAAACCAACCCAAAAAAAAAGACTCAAACTAGCATGACAAAGTATCAAACGCAGACATTACTAGCACTAATCAATTACAAAGCAAGTTCCAAGAATTTGGGCTGCTTCAAGCAGGTGTGCTAATCACTAAACAATTTAATTTACATTGTGATTAAACTACAAATCCATGTGTAGCATCACAATTGATTTACTCTGCTTAATCTGATTTGAAGAGGACTTTTGAAGTAATATACATGCAATAGCATAGATAGGTGTATCTAAGTAGTCATAATAATGTTTGGAGAGGTTCCTTCCATAAAAATGTGATATAGTTCATTCCAACATTCGTTCATGTAAGAAAATCCAAATAAATCACATCATCATTGGAGATTTCCATATTTCAGGTGTGTGGGTATGTGTGCAGGTTTATCATTTTTTATTGTTATTTAGTTTTTTTTTTTTTTTTTTTTTGGGGTTGGGGGGTGTTCTTAGTTTGCTTTCAAGATTTCTTAGGCAATGAGCATGTAATTTAACCAAATTCAATTGGTGCCCAAGATGATCTTTTCCCATGTCCCCAACTATATGAGGAGTTTTACTACTGCTCATCAAGCGAAGTCCACTGTATCAGAAGAAGGATTAGTTTTCTTCAACTATTGCAAATGTGTGTGCATGAGTCCGGACAGTATATGAACATGTTCAAATGCGTGTCAGAGGAAATTACTGCAATGATTTTACCATAGATGCTGTACACAGTCACAGCTTTGATAAATCAGATCTCACATAAGAATTGTAACATTTCCATCTAATAATTTCCCAGAAAAGAAATGAATTCGTGCAGCAAGACAATTAACAGGAATAAGAATGGAACAATTAAGTTGCATTACCCAATGAGAACAAAAGCTGAAACACTTGAAAATTCTATACCTCACATACAGTGAAAAGTATAGAATAATTTTTCTGGAAGCAACATAATAAGGGCACCATATCTTTGATCAATCCTGACTTGGCAACTACACAAGAAACAATTTCCCAAAAAAGAAAAACAAGAAATAGGAACTTACATTTCTTTTCAACTTTAGGCTTTGCCTTCATAGAAGTCTCCTATGAATACATGCCAACAGCCTAATATTAGCCAAAGAGGATCACATCAAAACCTGAATTCAGAAAATTTAACTGAGAAAAAAAAAGTACTGTTAGTGAACAACACCATATATACATTGAAACGCCGCAACAATTCCTCTGCCTGGGCAGCATCAGCATCCTCAATTTTTTCTCTGCAAGCAGCAATGACGTTTAACCTTAACTTCAGAAACTAAGGTTGGTTAATTATGCAAAAGAATTTCGGTTTTTAATTAGAGTAAAACGATGCTTACGCTTTAGGTACAATGGGATTTTGTACTCTGCGAGGAGGAACTTTAGGAGCAAATCTCACCTAGAGCAGTTCAAAGCAATTCATGAGAAAACAATGTATAAGAAATGATTATCTAAAGCTTAGCTATATGTGAATGGAGGTTATCTAAAACAGACCTTCCTAGGTGCGTTAGTGGTGCTATTGCCAAAGGACTCTGGATCCATCAGAGCTAAAGGTTCCAAAAACAACCTGCTGAGAAAGACAGACAAAATATATTTAGCAGTGATCCCATTGATTGTCTGATTGATCATATAGATTTGGGCAGTGCTTGGTTAGGTACGAGACTTCATGCTGCAAGAACCATACTAAAATGCAATTTGTATAAGGGGAGAGAAAAATAAGAATGTCTGGGCAAATGGGTCCATGGCCTTTGCTTTGTTACTCTAAAATTTCCATTTGTACATATATGAATGATCATGTAGAGTACTTTTATACGTGTAAACGTGCATATACATAAATGGTCGACCCTTGATTGATTATCACAAAACTCACCAGAAGTTGTGACCAGTGTGTGTGTCAGTGTGTTTTTGAGAGAGAGAGAGAGAGAGAGAGAGAGACGTGTTTAGTTAAAAAGATTCGTTGATGGGTGGCGCCAGATGAAGAAGTAAAAGAAGCAAATAAGTGCCCCCCCCCCCCCCCCCCCCCCCCGGTGTTAGGGTTTTGTGAGATTTAAACAAAACGAAAGAATTAAAATTCTAATAATTTAATATATTTTGAGATATTTTTAAATATTTTAAGATATTTTTATATTTTTAATTAATATTTTAAAACTAAATTTTTATTATTTACTATTTTATTATATTTAAAAAAAATTCATTTTTAAGTGATCAAAAATAACACCGACACAAAATTTTAATATTATCCGTGATAAAGCTCTAAAATGGGTCCTCGACTCCTCGTACGTACGTTACATGTCTCTGTCTAAGTCAAACCCGGCCCGGATTGACTAAGGATTTTAGAATTCTTAGAACCCACGTGCAGACTTGCAGCATCGCTTCAAACTTAGCTGAAACCCAGCCCACACCTGCCAAGCTCAACCAGTTGTCCAATCACAGCCTGAGTAACCCATCCTGCAACAGACTTGGATCCCAAANAAGGATTTTAGAATTCTTAGAACCCACGTGCAGACTTGCAGCATCGCTTCAAACTTAGCTGAAACCCAGCCCAAACCTGCCAAGCTCAACCAGTTGTCCAATCACAGCCTGAGTAACCCATCCTGCAACAGACTTGGATCCCAAAAATCTGGGCCACGTGCCCCACATTTAATTTTTGGCAATTGACCGTCACCGTGTATTAAATATTTTCTTCTTCTTCTTTTTTTTAATGTGTTATAAGTATCAAATATAAATCAACTCATTTATTACACGTATTTATTAATCATATCAATTTTATAATTGTGTTGAATTCTTATCATAATCATTTTAATGGATCAGATTGNAATGTCTTATAAGTATCAAATATAAATCAACTCATTTATTACACGTACTTATTAATCGTATCAATTTTATAATTGTGTTGAATTCTTATCATAATCATTTTAATGGATCAGATTGACACCCCCCCCCCCCCCCCCCCCCCCCCCCCCCCCCCCCCCCCCCCCCCCCCCCCCCCCCCCCCCCCCCCCCCNCCCCCCCCCCCAGTCTCTCTGTATGATAATAACCAATAGCTTTAACAGATCGTTTCACAACAATCCAACAAAAAGCAAAAAGATGGTGAAGATGTCATCTTCTACCTATAAAATTATAGCAAAAAACCTGTGTTCTAGGCTTCCCAGCCGAGTCATTCAAAAAACAAGATATAGCTTATACACATAATTTGTGTTGATTAATTTTTATCTTGAAAATAATAAAATAAAAAATTTAAAAAAAAACCTTTACACCGTCATATATATTTCATTTTTTTTTTTTAACGATCAAAGATGTCTAGAACAACTTATGTACACCTCGACTAATCTCCTCTCCAGTTCAGTCAAAGACAGGTCATTCAATTCACAACAAAATTAAGATATTCCTGAAGAATAAATATCTCATAATCTAATTTTAAAAAATTGTCAAAATTCGAATACAAAATATTCAAATCTTGAACTACCCTTGGGTTGATACTTTATTTAATAAACAACAATTTAGCTACTATACCCCCTGTGCAAACAAAAAGTAGGCTCCTCGGTCCTTACACACATATACTCTCTCCGTTCTTAAATATCTATCGTTTTACACAATTTTTTTTGTTCTATAATATCTGTCGTTTAATAAAACCATAGCATAATTAATAATTTTTTAATGCATTAAATTAAGTAAAAACTAAGTGTCTTTCATATTTCTTTTCTTTCCAATACATATTAAAAAAATATATTTTAGTCTTATATAATTATTTTTTTTTCTCATATTAGAGCTATTTAATAAATTCTTTAATTCTTGTACAAAAAATTTAAACGCCAAATATTTAAAAACGAAGAGAGTAGATGAAAAGTAAGAATCTTCGAGAACATAAAAAGTGAGAGAATTTAGCATGGTGACTTTAAATACCATTACGGGTCACGAAGAAGTCAAGTAATGTTAGTTAGGTACGTAGATTGAGAGCTCGTTGGGCCGCGGACAATTTTTCCTGGCCGCCATTCATTGCAGAAATGGTGCATTACTTTCTGTGGTTCATTTGTAGGACTTAATTTACATGATATGGTACATATGATCCACCCGATTATTATTTATTGAATAATTACAAATTTCATAAATAAATTTTTCCAAACAAAGACCACATGACAAATTAAAAATCACATGACAAAGTAACGATCTCAATCCCGATTTCATAACTTGGGTAGATCTTCCTAGAAACAACTTTTTAGATAGTGTCGTTTGAAATCAACAGCCTCCCTATTTTAACGNGTAGATCTTCCTAGAAACAACTTTTTAGATAGTGTCGTTTGAAATCAACAGCCTCCCTATTTTAACGCCAAAAAAATAATTGTTTTATTGACATTCAGCATTGCTTGATAGTAGCTCATTAAGATAAACATACCAATTAAATTCGTAAGCAAATTTAAAGCCATAATATCCATTGATGTAACCATTCCAAAATACCCGTTGTTTAGATCTTTTGGGTTTGAAAAAAAGATTGGAAAATACCCTTCTCTCATTAACTAGGACAAATTACACAGACTAACAAATTATAAACAAAAATTCAAATTAAAACACAACCCACAATCATAAATCATATTAGAAACAAAAATATCATCATAATTCAAATTCATTCAAAGTATAAAATTTCTATTTGCGGAATGGTATCCCCAAAATCTATGCTTAAATAACCAAGAACAGGGAAAGACAGAAAATTTTTTCATTTATTATGCAAGCTGCTTCAATGAAGAATCAAACTATTTATCAGTCATTCTCAAGGTTCTAAAAGGTAAGCATAACTTATGGATCCAAAACTTACTACCAAATCCAAACACATACAATGCAAGTACCAAATCAATAAACCTTGACACGTATATATCGAGAGACTCTAGGTTCCAAAACATTTGGCATTTCAATATCAAATTAACATTCACAAAACCTAGATCCAAAATCCCCACAAACCTCCAAAATAGAAAATTTAATATGTGTGAGACTGTGAAGTGTGCAATTGTGGGTGTGTGTGCATTTTTTTGTGGGACTCTGTGTGTGTGAGTGCGTGTGGTAATTGCGGTGGTGAAACTGAATCTAATTAAATCCACACCTAATTCCAATTAAAGAAACTCAACACAAAAAATAAAAAAGAGGCAATCAATTATTGTGTGTGCGCTTTGCGAGAGAGGAGAGAGGAAACTCTTTGAGAAATTTTGCCGAACTCGTGGTGGTCGAGATGGGTTTAGGGCTATGAATGGATGTTGGGTGGCAGTTAGTGCAAAAGAGAAAAGGGGAAGGAGAGTCGTAGAAGATGAAAGAGAGAGATACCTGAGGGTCGTTGTAAACTGGTAGTCATTCACAACGAAGGTCGCTGCCGGTGTTGTTTCACTTGGCAAAGGCAGCGGGCAGATGTGTGGCGTGGCAGAGGCAATGGGGAGAGAGAGAGAGGGAGACAGAGGGGAGGAAGGAAAGGAGCCAAAAAGGGGCAAGAGAGACCTGACTGGTCGCTGAATATGTGTGGCTATTGTCGGTGGTGGGTGACTGGCAACATTATGATGATGATAATTATGATGATGGGCGCTAACAGTGATGACGGTGGTGTTGGTGAACCGATTTCAAACATTATTTTATTTATTTATTATAGTTATAAGAAATTATATAAGTCCTAAAAGAAAAATACTTTAAAAAATCACCCCTAACACACCCTTAAAGACCTATTTTTCTTATTAAATTTAAGATGTTAATATTAGTCGTTGAATAAAATTTAAAAAAATCTCAAACGCAAAAAATAAAAATCATTTTATTTATTTTTGAAATTTGAATTGTATTGTACTTTATTATATAGATTAATTTAAGTTAGATAATNAGACAGAGGGGAGGAAGGAAAGGAGCAAAAAGGGGGCAAGAGAGACCTGACTGGTCGCTGAATATGTGTGGCTATTGTCGGTGGTGGGTGACTGGCAAGAGCGGAGAGGAAGGGAACCAATGGGAAGAGAGAGAGAGAGAGGAGTGAACAGTGGAAGGGAGAGGGAGAGATCTGTGAATGGAGTAAGGGGGAGAGAAAAATGTGATTTTCTCGGAAGCTAGGGCAGAGATGAGTGCGAGAGAGAGGAGGGAGAAGGGGCGTGAATTGCACAAGGGTGGGACCAGATTGGAATATTTTGCGCAGGAAAACAAAAATTAAAGAACAGTTTTCGACCATGGGATCTGATATAGATAAATTTAAAAATAACCTAGAACACGAAAATCTAAAGTTATTTTATTTATTTTTGAAATTTAAATTCTATTGTACTTTATTATATAGACTAGTGATTGTATATGTCTGAAGACACAGAATAATAAAAAAATGATCAACAATAAAAATATTTGTATTCACATCTAAAATCAAATCACAAACATAAATGAGAAATAAAAGAATTTAAACACCGATTATAATAGAAGGTAAGACATAATGGGATATAATGATGGTAGTAGAAGACGATGATAGTTGTGATGGGTGGGAATAACCGTAATTGTGGTAGTGGGCGACAATTATGGTTGTTGGTAGTCGTGGTCGTGGTGGTGATGAATGTGGATGGTGGTGAACGACAGTGATAGTTGTTACCAGTTGTATTGGTGGTGGCGATGGTAGATTGTGGTGGTGGGTGGTGACGTTGGTGGTGGTAAACGATAACAAATGTTTTTGGGCGACAATATGATGGGTGGTGGCAAATAACAGTGGTGGTAGGTGTTGTGAGGTTGGGTCATAGCAGTTGTTGGTGGTGGATGACGACGATAATAATGAGATGATGATAATAGTAATAATAAATATAAAAATGAGATGACGATAATTATGATGATGGGCACTAACAGTGATGACGGTGGTGTTGGGGTGACGGTGGTGTTGGTAGTAGTGGTGGTGAGACGATTTCAATCATTATTTTTATTTATTTATTATAGTTATAAGAAATTATATAAGTCCTAAAAGAAAAATACTTTTAAAAATCACCCCTAACACACCCTTAGGGACCTATTTTTCTTATTAAATTTAGGATGTTAATATTAATCGTCGAATAAAATTTAAAAAAATCTCAAACGCAAAAAATAAAAGTCATTTTATTTATCTTTTGAAATTTGAATTGTATTGTACTTTATTATATAGATTAATTTAAGTTAGATAATGATGAATCAGCCACCAATGAATACATATTAGCTTGTTCTCTGCATAAAAATAAACCAATAATGCAACTTCATACTCACCTATATCCACGGAAACCACCTCTCTTCTCCGTATACGAGAATTAGACCGTTTAAATCTAACCATCTCTACACTCTGTAATATGGAAAACTTATGCACGAGACTCTTCTTTATATTCAAGATGGTACCTTTTTCTGACCTGTTCTCATACTCTCTGATGGAAGCTCTCCAATTTACATTTATTGAGAATGCATGCTTTGAATAGAGAAAGAGTGCTCCAATAAATTAACTAGGAGGAAAGTTTGGTCTGTTTGATAGTGTAAATTAAGACTAAAGCCTCCTAAAACATTGCTGAGAATAGTGAAGTAAGAACAAAAAAAGAGTATATACAAAACCAATCCCCCAAATTGTGTGCTAGTGTCCCCCAATACCATGGTTACCACAATTCACTAAACCCTTAACGATCCACGATCTGAGTACATCAATCCGAAACGAGGTGGATTCGCAATCCAAATCACCAAAATTGACGACCCCAAATTGTAATATTAACCCTAAATCAATTCGTTTTAGAATATGTAGCACAAATATAAAATACATATTAATTGACTACATGTATATAGATTTATAATTATATATTGTTTTAGATAATAGAAAATCAAGCACAATTATACGATAAATGGTAATTAACTTAGCGTTTATGAATGTTTAAATATATAATGTTATATAGTAGTGAAAATAATCTATAAAAGAATTTCAAAACGAATTACGACACAAAATACCGTACCAGCTAAATTTACCCCCATTGTACCATGTACCTAAAAAAGTGTCGTACCATGTAACCGAACCTGTACCACGTACCAAAGCGACCCACGATCTAAGTAGAATTGCCCAAGACCAGGNGAAATAATCTACATAAGAATTTCAAAACGAATTGCGACACAAAATACCGTACCAGCTAAATTTACCCCCATTGTACCATGTACCTAAAAAAGTGTCGTACCATGTAACCAAACCTGTACCACGTACCAAAGCGACCCACGATCTAAGTAGAATTGCCCAAGACCAGGGGACCATTTCGAGCCTATCTCCTGGCAGAAGCAAGCACAAAGCAAAGCACCTCTGTTTTAGCTTTTAAGCCAGTACTTCCTCAGGTGCATTTCTTCTATAAATTCCATTTCCAAACTTCCAGAGCATTAGTTGGAAGTAGGAACAGTACACACTCATTATCTCACCTCTCTACAAAAGTAATCTCAAACACGGCTCATCCGACAATAGCCTGTCATTGAATTCATTAATGTTGAAACTAATTGACCTCTCAGTACTGTGATGTCCAACAGGAATTTTGTTAAAGCTTTTTTTGTCCTCCTTGATGTTACTAATACCACCCAATCTTTCACCTGGGAGGATGATACACATCTTAAGGATGTGCAACTCCAAAACTCAGAAAATTTATAACCTCGACTCAAAAGTGCTTCAAACCACTCGTTCACACCATTAATATATTTCTTGATGGGTCTTGAACTACTCTTTCAAGCATAGTTTGAAAACCCAGCCCGGACATCAACCCGGAAAAGAGACCAGATCAATGGGTTAGTAATTCAAATAATTTAACAAATAAAAAATAATTATAAATAGACTAAAAAATCACAATAATTATGCAAATAGCATGTTTAATATATATTAATCAAACAAAACCCCCAAAATCATCAAACATGTATCCAATGCATTCATGCTTAATGTTATCCAAAGCAAGGCACATGTAAATTGTAATCCACTTGAAACTATAAATACTACTACTATTATCAAATAACTAATCTACAATGGTACAACTCAATTATATATTATGAACAACAAGAATGCTCAATATTTAAAACCTATCATCAAGAATCCTCGACATCACATTTCATAGCAACAATATGTAATAACCAATATGATTTATCCTCTAAGCCACCTATATATTATCAATGAATATGAACTTATGAATGCATTCGTGGGATGTCAAGGTCCTTCGTATGGATTGAATAATTATTGAAACGGGTAATCTGATTATCACTGTATATGAAATCTGATAAATGTTGAAATTGATAGGCCAAAATTTACAAATCGACTAAATCTGAAATAGACAAAAAAAAAAAAAAACTACATATACCACAATATAATAGCACAGAGAGAGAGAGAGAGAGAGAGAGAGAGAGATCTAATACCAAATGATGTCCTTCAGGTTGTCGATTAACAGATGAAGATCTATGTGAGTCGAAGATCTGAGAATCTGAGTAGTTCGAGTCTTCGATTGAGTGATATTGAGCTGCTAAGTGATGAGAGAGGACTAACCCCAGTCGGTGTCGAGGAAAAGCAGAGGGCAAAGGCAAACAAAATAAACGGTGAAATGGAATTTAGGCAAAAATACCCTAGAACTTGCATTTTATACCATTTGAATTAAACTGCCCAGTTTGGTCTAAACCATCCGGTTCAGCAAGTTAGTAATCCCACCTGTTTCCGCAGGTGGAAGAAGGTAGTCTTGCTCATGGTAATCCCACCTGTTTCCGCAGGTGGATGTATCGTGGGGTTGGCTTCACGATCAATATAGGATAAGCTTTGCAGGCGGCCCGAGCGGAAGTCATCTTGGACCTCACCAGTATATTAAGACTCATCAGCTTCTGGAGTGCAACATCTGCCATCTGGGCTCTTATTTCAACCAGTATTGGCCTGCAGAAAGACTCATTAAAGGGAGGGAATTACTGTACATTTTGTTAGAGCATTGACGTACTTTAGGGCTTACCGTGCCTTTTGGCTTCAGTCTATGCTTGAAGGACAGCTTGACTAACTTCCATCCCCTGCACAAGAAGATCATACTTCTGGTTTTCCTCCTCCCCCCCTTCCCAACCATCCCCACAAAACCCAGAAAAGGAAAACAAAAAGAAGCCAGATTTCTCTCTTTACAAAAGAATAAAAATGAAAAGAAACAGAACATAAAAACAAAAACAGTGACATATCATATTCCAGAAAGAAGAGCATAAAGCAGTTATATGTGAATACTTCATTAGAACAAAAAGCGTAGCCTTTCTTCTTTCGCTTGAATATTCCAAATTGCAAATTGCCTCCGTATATGCCAACAAATCAAAGTATGCATCCAATAGCATCATATAACAGGTGCAACTGATTTTATTATATGCTTACAGTAAAAGGGATGGTGGGAACAAGAAAAAAAGGAGTGTAATACTTGTAACGCGAGAAATCAAAACTTATATTAAATTAAGCAGAAAAAATAATCTGTAAGTTACAGAACTTGCTTTTTTCAAGTGACAATTGAACAAGAAATTGCCAGGTCAACTTCGGATTCTCAGCACTATTCCTTCTGGAAGAAAGAGAGTACAAGATCTGTGTGTACAGAGAAGAGCTGTGTGTCCACGAAAAGCTGTTTCACAGAATACAAGGAAATGCCGCATTAGTTTGCTCCCAAAATCATTATATTAAACTGAATTAAGAGAAAAACAGATGATAATTTGGGCTACACTGAGAAGCACAGGCATATTGCTCGGGATAAATACTATGACTACAACGTTATATGTCATCTAAGTAATATACTAAAGCAAATGGAAGCAAACATAAAGGGTCCTGTATAACCACAGTAAGAACATAGTTATCAAAAACTGCCATAACACCAAGAGAACGTGTCTTATGCTACAAAATATATAGCAGTGTCATATTAGCCCCTGGTAAAGCTGCAATGAAAGATTATTACAAAATCACTTCAGGTTATGTAACAGAGCTCAAGTCGCACAGGAAGCTCCAGGAACAAACCTTCATAAAAGATCGATCGCGACTAGGAAAGGACTCAATAAAACTCTCCTTCAGAAGCAATGATACCTGATGACAAAAGGGAAAACAATTTGGGTTATGTTGATAGGAAAACAACACGCTCATTACAATTCAAGTGATGTAAATCATCTACAAGTTACTGTAGAACATGTATTTCACATCTGTGGTCAAATGTATGCTGGTATGACTGTTTTTGTGTGCATCAAACTATTCATTTTTTTGCAAGACAGGTATCAGATAATAAAAGGCCCCAAATGCACCACCATAATAAAACAGGTTCAGACCGAATGATACCCTAAATATTCCAATCAGATAAGCACCTCAATGCTTCAGCAATGATCAAAATTTTGTTTCTTCGGTCATCTAAGAAACAAAAACATTTTGACATGTTTCGGAAATATTTTGACCCGTTTCAGAAATATAATGAAAAAAAATAAAAAATTGNGCCTCAATGCTTAAGCAATGATCAAAATTTTGTTTCTTCGGTCATCTAAGAAACAAAAACGTTTTGACGTGTTTCGGAAATATTTTGACCCGTTTCAGAAATATAATGAAAAAAAATAAAAAATTGAAGTATTATTTTTCCAAAACATTGGTTAAATTATACGAAAACATCTTGAAACATTGTGAAATAATTGTATAAATGCATTGAAACATTACAAAACACCTTGAAACATTATGAAATACCTCGAAGTATTAGAATTTTGATTCCATCATTGATTTGTTTCGGTCTCCTTGAAAATAAAAACGTTTCAGACATTTCGACCATTTCGAAACGAAATTTTAATCCTTGTGCTTCAGATATTTTACAACTATCCCAACGCTCCTCCGTACTCAAATCTTTACAATAATATTTTGGCAAGCTCATGAAAGAACAAGATGACCAAGGACACCCTAAATCCTGAATAATCGATGTATGTACAAACTGAAAATGTTCTACAGATCACAAAAGGGAAAAAAAAAAAACACACCCTTTAATCCATGTGTTATTACTTTGAACACATTTCCAATTTCAATCAGGTTCCCTCATATGTCAAGTCAGAATTTAATTTCCATAACTAGAAACATTTGGTCCAAGGAGTATTAGTATACTAAGATAGCATTCTCTTTCTAAGTAACAATAAATCACAGATCATTTTCAAAAATTAAAAATCCAAGTCCCCCAAAACTATCAGTTTCCAGGAATAAAGAAATGCTTGTAGCCATTATATTCCAGTCAAATAATTGGTGCAACAGAAAGCCTATTCAGAAAGGAAACCAAACCTTATCATCGTTGGATTGAACATTCGTAATTGTGTGAGAACGTAGGTTAGAGCAAAGAGAATCCACGTAAGATCGTAACACTGCCAGGAAACCCTTGGCAGCTTCCACCTACAGATAATAAGAATGCATGTAAAACAATTAAAAACTACCTGCAAGCCAGCTATTAAAAGTGAACAATTGAACATGGAAAAAACAAGAAATTTAGCATCAAATCTATTGCAAGAGTTGCAAATGAATTGGAAAAATGCATTAAACTTTAGATCGTGCAATTTTTTCTTCTGCCATATCTATCGTTTACAATGCTCACAAACTTCACCACAATTTTTTGAATTTTACTTATTTTGTTGTAAATCATAGCAAATCAGCTAATCACTGATTGATTCCAATGCCTTCAGTTCCATGACAAGGGACTGACACCAATGATAACTGAAAATTCAGAGCTAAGAACAATGGTAATAATGGTTTTAGGATATACATTCAGTTTTGAGAGATTATTAGAAATGAGAAAGAGGGTCAAGTACAAGAATATACCTGCACGTCCGTACAATCATAAACTGGTCTTTTTCTCCCCAAATAACTTTCTCCCACAAGCTTTGCATGATAAGGGCCTAAGGAATAATACAACTCCTTCTGTTTTGGTAGTTGTGGTATTGTTGGTGACTTCACCTATTGCCTCAAGGCAACAAATAGCAAATCAGAAAGCTATGCTTAGAAGTATAACATAAATAATATAACAAAAAAAATAAGGAAGCATAGAAACAACAAAACTTTTGCAAGCCAAAGAACCAATATAACAAAAACACAAGAAAGCAGTTGCAAGCCATAGTGAGTTCAGAACCCACAAGGGCATGCACCTAGTAGCCCATTATTTTAGAACTTTCCTAAATAGAACTAGAGTGCCTCCAAGGTCATGTCAACAATATCAATGCAGACTGCCAAATCTATACTCCCCAAAAAAAACGCTAATAATTAACCCCACACCAGGCAGATTGAATATTATCTTAATAATTTTGTTCATCAAATTCAGCGACAGATCAAATTTATTCATTACTTCCTAATTTCTTGAAAATAAATGCAAAGAAAAGGTTCTAGAGGTCAGCAACCTTGTATGCATGGGTATTCAAACGTTAGAGGGGGCTTCTTATACAAATGTCAACTGTCCATATCTAAAATGAAAAGATTTTATTCAGGAACCTGAAAACCTTCAAAAATTCAATATTAAAATGAATCATGCATAACTTCTTTCGATATATGCATAGGAAAATGGTGTTGCACGTCTTTTACATTCAAGATCAATGAGATGTGCAAGTGCACAATGCACTTCGTAGATTACATCCCTCTCAACATGTCTATCTGATTGGCTGAGAGGGCTTTAAAAATTATGGGATACAGCCTTTCCTCTCCCTACCACTTGTGAGTTTAATGATTAACGAGAGAGGCTTTTCACTCCTTTCTTTCAAATCATTGCTTTTTTCACCCTATTGTTTAAAATACACACCTGATTCTTGTTGGCATCAACAAGGATGACATTCGCTAACTTCGATTGCACCTCAGGGGTTTTGTTCTTCACACCAACCTAATAGAACACCACCAAATGTCAGGAAGACAGTAGCTGAATTTTAAATAATTATAAATTTGTAAGCACGGAGCATGGTACTAAGAAACATGAACTCCATCATACTAAATATCAATTAAATGAATATGAAGAAACATCAAGCACAAAAAAATGACCAACTACTACATGATGGAATCAGTAAAAAGCACCGGTAGAAGATAGTAACATGCTAAGAACAGGAGACAAATACGATACGATACGGACACGTCGATAAGAAATTTTTTGAAAAAATAAGACACGAACACATTGGGGATAAGTTAAATAATATGTATTTATATATATAAATATCTATATAAACATATAATCATGTGATAAAATAAAAATATTATAATAATAAACTTTTAATTTATCCTTTCCCTAATTTTAAAAATTCACATTATGATACCACTGTATAAAACATACAATATAAGATATACCGATACACATTCAACATTAACATCCATGATCCAACAGTCAATGACTATTACAATTTTATTTTCAAAAATATTCCACCTTGTAACACTAATTTTCATCAATTTTAAATAGCCTCATTTTGTAACCCCATTTTTTCAAACATTACTTTCATATTAAAAGATTATTCCATTTGTATATAAATTCGTATCTGTATCCAAAATTATGATACATTCATGTCCTATCTTCAATGTAAAGATTATAACTCCGTTTATATGATAACTTTAACGCATATCTCTTTAAAATTACAAAAATAACTTTTAATTATAAAGTTATCTAAAAAGTTTAAAAAAAAAAATTCTCAAAACATGTCCCTAACGTGTCAACCCCGTGTCCCCAATGTGTCCTAAAAAAAATTTAACAATAAAAAATTGAACACTCATTTTAGCGTGTCCAACATGTGTTCGAAGCATGTTTGTGTCCCAAACTTGTCCAAGCGACACTCTAGCCAGAATGAAGTGTTTCTGCTACCTAGGTAACATGCATTATATATTTTTCATTAAGACAATATCAATTAATAACAAACAAGTCCTCTCCTAGCCAAATAAGCAACTCCACTAACATGTAAAAATATACAACCAATACAACGCATACAACATTCCGACGATGTCACAATATGGATGCATTTCATAAGCATGACAAAACATAATATAAAAACCANTTAACATGTAAAAATATACAACCAATACAGCGCATACAACATTCCCACGATGTCACAATATGGATGCATTTCATAAGCATGACAAAACATAATATAAAAACCATAAAAATTTTAATCCCAAAACAGATAAAAATTAAGTCTCTTTAAAACAAGATACACTTTGGGAGCAAATGAGTTATTAAAATCTCCTCATTTGCATATCCATTCCACTACGATGCCTCCACCTGAAATGCATGCTTTGATGGATCCTTTTAGAGTGAATTGCATTCTTAGAAGGATGATCAGATGCAATGAAGCTTAAGATACAAAAAAACTCACTATGTATGGAACAGGTGCATCCAAAAAGTCCACCATGTCATTTGGCAAAACCTGAAGTTCATGTTCAGGGTTAATAAAAATAATGATCCCACAAAAATAGCCAAAAATGAACTGAGGATAGTAGGTTAAATGTTCCTATTAATTCAAAAAAAAATCCCATAGAAAAGAAAGGAATAATACCGGCATCAACAAGCTCTGCCACTGATAAGGGCGAATCAGGGGAATAATTGATAAAACTGAAGCAGACAATACTCCCTGTATATGAACAAATACAACAGTGAGAAAGAAACCTAAACATCTTGAGGTTTAGTATTTTACAGGGTAAAAACCCTAAACCAGATGTCTTAAGAAAGGTTGCATCCACGTAAAACATTATTTTCTAATCAAGCCTCCTTCCAAACCAGGTGCCCTAGCTAAACTTTTAAGCATGATTAACTGTCCAAACTATCCACAAGATAGTCCATATACTGAACAAGTAGGGATTAGAAGTTTAGCTTAAAAGTTAATCAATTGCTGATTACATGTTTGCAACACAATGACCAACAACTGGAGGATAAATCCAACAGAAGATAGAATAAATCACAAGGAAAAGGACCATTCATCTGCTAAAAATATGATTCATGTGATCTGATTTAAGAGACATACCAAATTAGAACAAACAACAACAATTTGCTTCTCCAGCAAAGCCCCAGCGAACAGTGTTAACACCTGTACAGAGCAGAAATAATCAGTGTACATCAAAACCCTATAAACAATCAGCATTGGTAAACAACAGATTTTAAGTACCCAAGTTTCAGTGCACTTTGTGCCTAAACATGTCAAGTCATTAAAATATCTAAACAAAAGTAAGGTCATCATAGCTTAAAAATAGAACTGCAACAAATGTAAATATAGGCCAATCGAAACGAAATTTCAGACATTCTAACCTAGAAATAGAACTCGCTACATGATTTATCACAACATGATTGTTGCAACCACAAAGGAAATAGCAGATGAGTTATGCAAATTATTTCCTCTGAAAAATATCCTTTTTTCAAATTGGAGCAGACACTTACATGCTCAAGTCGCAAGGATCCACATAAACATGCAACTGCCCAAACAGATAAAGCAGTTGCCTCCTCCTCTGCCATGAGTGCACAGTGTGCCTAATAGAACGTAAATACATTATTAAAACCTAGCTTTTCTGGGGAAAGAAAAATCGAATCAAGTAGTAAGTACCATAAAGAAGTTAAAAGAAAACCGTAAAAGTATCAGACATGTTTGAGAGAGAGAGAGAGAGAGAGAGAGAGCACTTTCAGATATTAGTACAACAACATGGTATACCTCTGCATACTCCAAACTTGAACTACATGACTTCAAATCATTCGCTGAACCAGCAACATGGAGAACTGTTTCATCAGGTCTATGAAATTCCAACGAATGCAGGTGCTCCAAAGGGTGGAACTTAATTGTTGAACCCCTAGCTGGGCACCGTAACTGGTAATACCCACATATTATTTGTAAGGATCCATGGTTATTGGCCTGCATGTGTCAGGAAAAAAGGAGATAAAAGAACATGTGAATTGCCAAGAAAAAACCTCAGGAGCACAAAAAGGCAAGGAAGAGAGCTTAAGAATAATATGGGAATATCTGAAGCTAGATGCAAACCTTAGCCCATTCAAGAATATCACTGTGTTCGTTAGAGCACTCTTGGCCAGAAAAGGATGCCTCTTCCATCTCAACCTCATCAATATCCCTCCTGAAATTTCTATCTTCAGTAGGAGAGCCCCGCAAACTGCATCAAGCAAATTCTGTGGTATATTAGCAGCTGTTTGCAATCAAACACGATATGTATATCACAAGAAATAGAGAAGCAACGCAGTCAAGGCATCTGTGCTGTGATCAGGTTTATGATTCCTCCACAAGGAGAGGCCCAGGAATTATACAGGCAACAAAATCATATTGCTAGCTTTACCTTCATTCAATTGCAATCTGTATTTTTTCACACATCCTCATACACACAGCAGGGAGAATATGTATCTTGCCCATGCTCTGTTTATTTTAAGTTGCATCTCCAAGATTCCAACCCTTGCTTAGTCAGATTCATACAAATTTATGTAGAAGGCAAAAACTTTACCCCCTCTTGTAGTTCAAAATTTTTGTGCAGAGAAATAGTCAATTTCAGTAAGACGTAAAAAAAACTTTGCAGTGTCTTAAATAACTTAAAGAAAAAAAATCAATTAGATCTATTGTAGCTATCCCCATGGTTTCTGGTAGATTATTTTCAAATGTTTCCTGGGAAGGGAGATAAATAACATAGATTCTAGATGTGCAATGGTTTGTATTGCAAAATCCATCAAATCAAGAGAGAAGATTTGGTTTGAGAACAGATATAGCTTAATGCAGATAATTAAGCAATGACATAGCATTAACTGATCATGGGCTGCATGAAGATGATAGTTGTTCAGAAACAGTCAAAGACAAAGACATGCCTTGAGGAAGATTCAGAGCTGTCGTACTGTTGAGATCGTAGAAGTGGCCATCGCATTTCTGCTGGTTGCTTGTTGGCTACGATATCATCAATATAAGTTTCACAACCTTCAGAAAACTGTGTTCTAGCTTCTGATTCTTTTTTAGCTGCAAGCTTCTGTGTGTCAAGATCAATGGGAACGACAACATTAACACTCATGCTTTCCTTTGACAAGTGACTATCCTCCTCAATACTTTGCTGCTCCTGATGACACTCATCATCTGCGACTCTTCCAGTGATACAGACACTCGTGCTTGATTGGGAGGGTTCTACAGATCCATTTGGCATGTCATCTGCTCTATGCTCCAGTGAAGCACTATCAGATTTTCCTTCTGAAGCTTCTTCCGTGCAATTCCCCTCAGGTAATTCCAAATCTAGTTCACCAATATTCTTTGTCAACCGTTCCAACCTCTCTTCAGTGAAGATGCTGCAGGGGCAAGGGGGATAATTTAAAAAAACAAAACAGTAATAGAAGAACAAAAGGAACAAAATCGTCAAAACAACTAATCAGAAAAAAGAAGGGTCAAAAGTGTGCAGTAATAAGATCACAATTAAACCAAACTCGTACATCATATATAAATTATTCAAAATTCTGTTTAATAGTCGCAATTTAGAGCTGATACCAAATTCAGGACATTATGACTAGTCCGTGTTTCATTTTGCTCCATTTTTAAAGCAACATGCACAACATTCTATTTGCCACACGCACACAGATGTCAAGGTACTGATGTAAATCAGCCACATACATCTAGGCTTGAAGTTTCTGATGCAAATCAGAAAACAGTTACTATACGCACATAGGAGGACATACATGAACTGATTTTTGAAGACAAGGACGTCCCTTGGGAAGACCTTGGGATAAAATCTCTTTCCTGGCGTCACTTTAGGTATCAACGTCCAAGAGATTCCATTATTGTTAATTAAAGACCATTGGGCTGCAGTGTATGAATTGTGAAGCTATACCAACTAATTCATAAATTTGGTTTCATTGCTTTTTGAATTTTGCGTCAAGCTGGATTAAGCATTTCTTTCCTGTTTTTCTTCTTGTTTTTTCCCTTATGAGGACTCCCTGTTCTCCCATGTACCTTTACACTTTTTACTTAATAATATTCTTTTGTATTTTATCAAAAAAAAATGTCTATCAATATACATGAGTTAATATTTACATATATCTAAAATAAGCCATTCTAGGTGGTTCTCACTCCCCACAACTAAAATATAAGCCACTTTATTCATAGTCACCCAATCTACACCCAAACTCTGCAGCTACTAAATTATATTGCTTTTTACGAAAAAGCTCAAAACTTTACAGTCAGACACAATACTTCCTTCCTTTTTACTTATAGGAATGTGACAATTCAGGTTTCGAAAGTAATAGCATCAGACTGAACAGGCTCATATTGCCATATGGAACAGGGTATGCACATAGTTCATAACCCAAAGCATGTAAAACAGGAAACCTGTATCTGCGAGGAGAATTAGTTGGGTTCACTAAGAGTCTAGATACCTCCTTGTTAATGCCCCAGATTTCTTTTTCAGCAGGGGGCATTCATAATCCAACATCCACAGAAATAATAACTCTACCAAGTCATCTCCACCCCAAGTCCAAGCAAAACATGACCACACAAACTATTATTAACTAGGCAACAATAACAGACAAAAGATCTGATTTAGGCATTAACACACCTATTCAATACACCAAAATGCAGCTCAAAAAATGGAAGCCTCGAAAGAATGCAATAACACCGGCGTGTGGTTAAAATATGGTGGCTTGAAGTTGAGCGAAAAGATTGGCCATCTGAAACCATGGATATCAATCCAGAGGGCTTTTGCACTATTTCTTCAACTAAAACACAGCAACCATACAGAGTGGAATTATCGGCAACCTAGAAAACAAAACTGTGTTAGATTTTTATTCTCAAAGACAAAATTTCTTGAAATACCAAATTTAACCACAACATGTATAAAAGAAACAATTATCAGTTCACACCATATAAAAAATAATGCAAAAAATTTGACTCAAGTCAAGAATAACAACCATAATCTATAGTTCAAAAGACGTGAATGCAGAGTTCAAAAGACGTGAACGCAGCCTAACAACATGCCATTTTTATTTTGCACTTTAATTTCTTGACTTTACATGCTTTACATGATAGCATGTCAAGATTCTTCCTAAGGTGAATCATTGATCAGGTAATTGCTCTTACACAACTTTAGTGGTTTTTATTAATTCAAATCAGAGCTCTCTGATGCTAAATTGCTACATTCTCAGTTACTTTATAGCCTTTTTCCCTAGAGAAAACTTCAGCGTATATGAGAACAAAACAAGGATGACATAGAACGAGGTCTTTAACAAGGCAATGTCATAGCATTTTAACTACAACATAAATAATTTAGACAAATAGTGCGTTAAAGTTCACTAGGATAGAAGGGTTTGTATAGAAAGCATTCTTAACATCCACACGTCATTATCCTATTATGGTAAGAGCTACACCCATCCTCAGCATGCTCAACAATGAGTATTTCCAATACATCATCAGCTTTGCAGTCATAATTTTGGCCCTTTGCCTACAAACACTCGGTCATTCAATCGTGTTCACTGAACACCTTGGGAATAATCAAGCTAAACAAGTAGGAAACAATTTTTTTTTTTTTT